GATTGTCATCATTTTAATAGAGAAAGCCTTCTAGTATAAAGGGAAAGTATGTAAAATCAATTAATGCATTTATTTCTTAGTCTAATCTAATTATAATACTAAAAATTGAACCGCTAGAAAATTAAAGAAAACTAAGATTTTGTGATTCAAACTGAATCAAACTATAATTGGACCAAGCCAGAATGTAAAAAGTGTAAGAGGAGAGGATAATCTCATTTTATTCTTCCTCTTCCCCTTTGTTTATGTCAAGCAACAGAGGCTTACTGTCTCATTCTCCAATCGAATTTCGGCCATCGTATAAAGAGAATAAGGTTACAAAATACTCCTCTAGTTACAATAAGTCTATTTCTAATCATCATTCAATTGACTTAAGTTCCCATTTTTGCATACTAAGAAATTCAATTTTCATTGTCTTTGAGTTTTTCGGTTGAGTTTTGGTCGAGTTTTGCAATTCTAGCTGAAATAATCTTGAATTCATAGTTCTTTATAAAGTAAACTTGATTATGTTCACTTAAGGCTTTGGTGAAGGACTATGAGAATTGAAATTTGATTTTGAGTTTGCGCGTTTTGATGAAATCGATGAAATTCATAAAAATTGATATCATAATTGAGGTTCTCATGAAATTTTCATCCTTTTGATACGTAGTTTGCAAGTTTCTGGGTTGATTTGATTTTTCGACCACTATGCACGGTTGCCAGCGTCAATCTGATAGCAATGGCAACGACAATAGCAACGGTCCACTTTGTCTTAATAATTTAATTTGATCAAAGAAAGAATCTTTCTCACTTCTCTCCACTAAAAGAATAATTAAATATATTAAAAACATTATGGACAATTCACTTTTACTGTACACAGTTGTGCTAGACACAACTTATGCCGTTTAACATTACTTATAAAAATTATCATATTTATTTTTTAAATTAACAAATTATCATATTTGTTATGTATTTTTGAGGAATTATTTCAAAATTTTTTTTTTCCTAAATTGCCTAGTCTTGTATGTTGGCAATATTAGACTTGCTGAGTTGCATCTTAAAAAGCTAATTAAATACATAAATTTGCACTTTGATTTTTTTTTTTTTTTTTTTTTTTATATTTTTCTCCTATCCAATTGACCTGGAGTCTTGCTATGGTTAGGCAATATTTAGACTTGCTTGAGTATCTCCGCATCATAAAAAAAAGCTAATAAAATTACCATAAATTTGCACTGGTGATTTCTTTCTTATTTTTTCTCAATTTCTTTTTTGAAAACTCTTTGAAAGAGACACGGCACTTAAAAAAATATTTGTAAGAAAATTTGATTTGTGCACCCTAAAAACTTCTACGAGAGGTTTTTAGTAATATTACATTACTTTTTCACATAAAACAGTTTTATTTGATTTTTCCAGCTTTCAAGATCAAACTAATATTAAATTCGCATTGCTTTTAATTATAGTGATCATAACTGTATAATTTTCACTCACTTTTATGCTGACCAATTAAGCGGTTTAATATCAATTCTAACTTTTATAGTTTTTTTTTTTTTTTTTTTTTTGAAAAATCTTGAGCACCACTTAAAATTTTGTAAGAAATTTTTTGTGCACCTAAAATTACGAATTTTAGTAATATTACATACTTTTTCACTACAACAGTTTTATGATTTTCAGCTTTCATATGCAAACTTTAATTTGATGTTTAATTAGTACAACTTTTAATTTTCATACTTTTAGCTGTCCAATAAGCGTTTAATTCATCTAATTTTATAAGTTGGAATGTTTTATTAGTGGTTTTGCAAGTTAAAGTGTTGAATAGATACAACTTTTTAAATTGAAATATTTAATGAGCTAAAGTAAAAATTGAAGATTTTATAATGATTTTTGCTGAATGTTTTAATTGAGTTCAATTTTCAACGAGTCTAACAAACAAGTTTAAATCCGTTCAAATTGTTAAAAATTAAACCAAGGTGATTATGTTGAATTATAATTTGGTTTTAATTCTGTGATTTCTCAACTTGTCTCTTACTAGCAATGACTATCGATTTCATATCTTACATGACATATAATGCATATATATTAAAGATATAGTTTTAAATTACATACCATATGTATGGTCCCGTAGCTCAGCTGGTTAGAGCGTTGGTCTTATGAGCCGAAGGTCGCGGGTTCGAGCCCCGCCGGGACCATTTTACTTTTAAAAACAAAACCTAAAATAAATTAAACTTGCAATACAGTTAAAAATACTTCGAAATGTCAATTTTAATCTTCCCATAAAGTATTTTTTTATTAAAAAACAGTTAAATTTATAGGATTAATATGGTTTAATTTAGTTTATTTTTTAATATTGAGGAAAGGGAATTTGAATTTAGATTTATTGTTAAATTGTACATACGCTTACCACTATGCTAGATATGACCATTTTCTAGTTTTTTGAACCGATAAGATTTGAAACTGGAAGAGAAACTAAAACGTTGCAGTCTGATTATAGTTCTAACATTTTTTGAATCATGAAATAACAATTTAGAGAAACCGAGAGAAGCAAACAGTTTGACGAAGATTTTGAAAGTTTTATTGAACTAATGAGAATCGAAGGTTTCTTCTACTTCCAACAAATGTTTTTTTAAAAAGACTTTATTGAAACCCAAAATTAACCCTCTCAATAGCTATAAACGACTAGTGTTAAGGATATTTATAGAAGTTGAATTTTTTGAATTTACTATAAATATCCCATTATTTTCGTTCATCATCACATGCTACTCTTCAATCTTTCTAAGTTCCTCAATTTATATTTATTATCCAAATTATTCTCAAATAATCTCTCAAATCTCCAATTATTCTCTTTAATAACATCCAAATAATGTCTTCAATCTGTAGTTATTCTCTTTAATTTTTTCATACTCAATTTTTTCAATTTGCATATTATTACTCTATAATGATAAGCGGAGGAAATTCGAGTTCCACAAAAGGCAAGGAAAAAGTTGGAGAAAAGCAAAATCCAATCTCATCCATGCATATGAACAACATATTTGACTTCACTCCCAACCAATTCAATTTTAAAGAAATCCAAAATGAAAATTATTTCATAAATTTTTAAAATTTAAATTTTATACCAAACATATCCTCTAATTTTCAAAATTTCAAATTATGCAATTAGATTTTCAAATTATACAAAATAACTTGCCAGAGAACCATAAGAACTAGAACCATTAAAAAATTGGAACCGGAACTGTAACTAGCCGATTCTAAATCGAAACTAAAACTGTTAATTTTCTGTTTGATTCCGATTCCACATTTTTTGGAACCAAAACCATAGTCACCTCTACACTAGGTTATGTCTTGGTGTATCTATTTAATTCAGTTTTAAATAGTTTAATTAAATAGAATAAAACCAAACTACAACTCCCTCTATCTCAAAATATAATTAGTTTAAGGTTTTTATACAAGAATTAAGGAAGTAGATAATTCTCCTATGTTATAACAAACTCAATAGTAATTTGACCAAATTATTTTTTATCTCAAAACCAAAAGTTGATTGTGAAGTATTTATTATATTTAATATAAATCATGACAACATTTAGAAAAACATCATTTATTACTTCTTAAAAAACACAAAACGACTTATATTTTGTAATAAAATAACAAACCAAAAACGATTTATATTTTGAAACAGAGGGAATATTCTATTTGTTTTAAATATTAAATCAAATCAAACTATTTATAAATACAAATCATATAAAATCGATGTTTTGATGCACTTTAATTTGATGTTACGATTTAACCTTTTAATGCAAATCCTCTGGATGCAGTGTTTTACTTACTGTGTTTGATTTGCCAACCACAACAGCAAAACTCTTCCATGAGATTGATAAAAATATGCTTCATAAAATTATCTAAACAAATTAAAACACATCATAAAATATAGAATGTTGATACGAGTGACACTATACCTAAATAAATTGGTTATGAAAGACCAAATAAATTTGAGAATATAAATTGTTCATAGAATATAATTTAGATTAACTATTTTTGTCTTTCAATTTAATTGGCAGTTGGGAAATCTCAGATGCCAACTTGTATTTTTCTCTCATAAAACTTGTAAAATTTTACAACAATAAAAGCAAATAATCCCACTTTTGCCCATCTTTATCTTTGTGTTGATGAACGGATCAACAGCACCTGGGAAAGGGCCAGCATCAAGCAACAGAAATCCACCCCATCTTTAGTCTTTGTGTTGATGAAACGGATCAACAGCACCTGGGAAAGGGCCAGCATCAAGCACCGAGAAATCTTCCCTTGGGAAAGAAGTAAGGAATCGTTGGACAGACCTTCACAAGTGAGCCTATTAAAGATATAGAATCAAGCCTCAAAAAATAAATGAGCTTTTCCTAAGCACGGAAGGCAAATTTTAGTAAGAAAAGTGAGCGAAAGGAAAAAAAAAAAAAAAAAAAAAAAAAATTCAACTTGCAAGTATTTGAAGCATCAAAAAAAAAAAAAAAAAAAAAAAAAAATCAACTTCAAGTTATTTGAAGCATCAATAGTGTTGCCTGTCCTTAATAGAATTGATCTGATACTCTGATCAATCAGAATTTCATAATTTCTGAGCAGCTTTTCAGGATCAGGAGCAGAAATGCAAGATAGATAGTAATGGATCTTAGCAGTATTGCTCAGTCAGCAGATACACCAGTAGCAGAGTGACTAATTCTTAAAAAGCATTCTGCTACATGAACACTGGAAATATACGCAAATGGAGATAAAGCTTCCATGGCAATTAACTGTCTAAATTTTAAACGAAAAAATGATAGACTCACATTTTTCATTTATGCGGACAACAGTTCAAATTATGAACAAGGGAAACAAAACCATTAAAACACTCCGGAATTAGTGAATGTCAACGGGCACACCCCAACTCTGCCATAAGATAAGCAAAGATCAAACCAAGAGGCGACTCACCCCAGGAAATCCGATATTCTTCTGGAACAGGCCCGCTAAAACATTACAGCAAGATCACAAGACACACAAAAGAATTTCAATACACGTGCATGCACACATGCGCACACACAAAAAATGCTTTGGAGAAAGTGTATATCTTATACAGTTTAGAGCATAAAGGTTAGAGAATCAACCTCAATGATATCCATTAATCAAATGGGAAAAAACTAATGCATCAAGTAAAATTTTCCTTCTATCAGTGGAAATAACAGAACATTGAGGGTAAAATGCAATATCCTGATGTTCTTGTCTTCCAGTAGTTTACTTCCTTCATTTACCAAGCTATTTTCGTAATTTGAGAGGCATATAGCATTGATATTGTTAATTCTAACCTGATGCTTGAAGAGTGACTTCAACAATGGTGAATGCAGAGCAATCATATTTTTGCTATGCAATGCACAAGCAATGAACTAATTGTCACAGCAGCTGCAGTTTCCAAAAAGAAATCATTAGATCAATTGAAGAAAAAAGGATGTACATCATAGATTTCAAACACAAATCGATGTCAGTTTTTAGTAAGATAATTACACCTAGATCAATTACTATCATTGGCACATTTGTGAAGCTCCAACTTCACAAATAACAAAGAATAACTCTGAAACAAATGTTAACAACAAAGAATAACTCTGAAACAAATGTTAAATTAGGAGCTAGGCCTCATTCTGCGAAAGGCTTTGTGACTTTGAAAATTACTTAACCTCAAGTTGCAAAGAGAACAGATTGAACAGATTATCTTCAAGTTCTGAACTCTTAGGAATAGGCAAATGGACATATTTAGTCATGTAAATGCACGGAATTTTCTTCTCCTTTGGACCAAGAGGACAGGGGCATAAAGAGAGAATGAAATAATCATTTACACGCATCAAAGATATATTTTTTTGAAATTATTAAGCAAATTTACAGTTCCCTGAGCAGTGATTAAAAAAATAAGAACTCCTAACAAGAACCTTGCTTTTCTTTACACAACTACACGAACTCACGCCACACATATGCACAGTTACCATAGTGAATTCACCACACACACACACACACACACACATGATGTAAGAGCACAAAAATGTTGATCAAAATCAACTGAAAACCCTATACTTCCTCAATAACAATGTTTAGGTCCCTCACCTTCATGTTCCTTACAAAGCATTGTCGCCCAATAACCACTGGATCTCCAGTTGCGCCCTAGAACTTCCTCTATAACAATGTTTAGGTCCCTCGCCTTCATGTTCCTTACAAAGCATCGTCCCCCAATAATCATTGGATCTCCTGTTGCGCACTAGATGAAGGATCTTCACTATTCTTATGAATAATAATGGCAAACCGAGGAAACCATTTACATGATTCACCAATAATGTCCACAGGAACAAAATCCCTCTTTAAAATGATGAAAGCGATTAGTGTCCCTAACAAAAATCTCTCTGTGTTCAAAGCTGGATATGAATTTTATAGCAGTGTGACAGTCACCACAGATTCTGAGGTTCTTAATCACCTGTAGAGGAGAGCCAGGACTAGTGTCAGATGCCCCAGCGCAACTGCCAAGTTCTCGCTGTGGCCATATAAGATCTGTTCCTTGTCTTGTTCCTCCACATCTTGCAATACAAAGTCAGTATCAAGAAAGCAACCTGATTTTTTGATTTCCATCCTCAGTTTAGCCAACTTTTCTATAATTTGGGTCATTTGAGGATGAGAATTATCACCGGCAATGAGCATATGTACTTTGCTTTTGACCTCAATCTAACTGCAGCCAGGGTTTTTCCTCAAACCCTGCTCTTCATCATATCCCTTACCATATTTACTTAAACCCACATTCCCTTAGAAGCATAAATATTTGATAGAAGAATGTAGTTTCCAGGATTTTTTTGGTTCTAATGCAACGAGTTCCTTTGTACCAATCTCAACTAAAACAACATTTTTGTAAACTCTGCATGAACTAAGCAAAGCACCCCAAACACAAGCATCAGGATCAAAAGGCATCTGCTTGATCAAGGTATATGCCTCTTGCAGCCTTCTAGCCCGACCGAGAAGATTCACCATGCAAGCATAATGCTCCAATCTAGCTTTAATACCATGCTTTTGAAATAATACCAACCCTCATCTGTTAGACCACCTTGGCTGCATGCAGATAATACACAAATGAAGCTAACAAAATCAGGAGTTTGCCCACTCTTTTGCATCAATTTAAATATGTCAATAGCTTCCTTAGTCTTTCCATGCATAGCATATCCAGCCATTAACGCATTCCCGCATTCCAAGAAACTAAGTTTCTGGTAGGCATCATATCAAAACAAAGCCTGGAAACATGTATGCGTCCACACTTTGCATACATGTCAATCAGTGCACTGCCCACATAAACATCACTTGAAATTCCACTTTTAAGAGAAAAACAATGGGCTGCCTTCCCATGCATTAATGCTGCAATATTTCCACAAGCTGGCAGTAAGCATGGTATCGTCACAGAATTTGGCCTTACACCAACATCCTGCATTTCCCTGAAAATCTCCAAAGCTTCAATATCCTTCCCATTCTGGGAACAGCTGGCAATAATTGATGTCCATGAAACAACATTCAATATTCAAACCCTTCAAACTTGAATTTTCTAAATAACTTCAATGCATTATCCACAAGACCATTTCGTGAGAGCCCTGTAACTAAAGCATTAAAAGCACCCATATCCACCTGATACATCTCATCAAATACTTTTGACATCTCCAATGTACGTGCACACTTTCCATACATATCAATAAGTGCAGTGACCACACACTTGTCCTGTTCTAAACCTTGCTTAATGACAAGTCCATGAATCTGAAAGCCCATATCCAAGATTTTCAAGCCACCTACTGCGGAGAGCCCACTAGAAAAACTAGTCCCATCGGGTCTAAATCCTTCCAAATGCATCTTTTGAAACATAATAACTGCCTCAGAATAGTTTTTGCTATGAGTATACCCCACAATCATTCCATTCCAAGAGATCAAATTAAGTTCAACACCTGCATCTTCCCTTCGAGAAAACAACTCCTTAGTGTCTTTTACGCAACCCTTTCTACGCAACCCTTTCTTGCATAACCTGCAAGCAAAGCACTGTAAGCAACAATGTCTGGTTGAGGCAGCCTATTGAACACCTTGTGAGCATCCTTTATCCTGTTGCATTTAATATACATATGTATCAAAGAGGATAATACACGCGGATCTGAATCAAATCCAAATGTAGATGCAATACAATGAACCTGCTTCCCAGTCTTCAGCAAAGATAACCCAGCACATGCCTTGATAATAGTAGGCAAGACATGTCCATCATGCATAATACCATGTGAGAGCATTTGTGAGAAGGCATGGATTGCCTGACCAAAATGATTAAGCTTTGCAAAGGAATATATAAGGGTAGAAAAGGAGATGACATTAGGTTCAGGTATGGAATTAATAATGACATTCGCATCAGTTAAAGAGTGATGATCTGCAGACAGAGAAAGGGACCTGTTGGTGACGCAAATTTTGGTGAAAATACCTCTTTGAAGGACATATTCACAGGCCTGCCAGTTTTGTGGAGAGATTGTGGCTGAATTGATGTAGAAGATAGAGTGGTGAAGATGTGGAAATAAGGGGAGGGCTTGTCTCGCCATATATAATAATTGAAATGCAAAAGTATCAGAAAAAAGGAAGCAAAAGCCAGGCGTTGCTACACTAATTCCACTTTTCTTCTTTATACTTGGCGTGCTTAAATGGAACATGCAAGCCCAGAGTTTGTCACCTACAAAGTATGATGGTTTTGTTCACAAGAACTGCCAATAGAAATCAGTGGCCATACTCTCATTTTTGCAACTGAACATGCCAGCAAAGAATTAATATCTGTATCAAAACCACAAGCATAAGATCACAATCCACCTTAAACTACAGTAGAAAATGAAAGAATCATAAAAATAACAAATTCAAAACATCCAAGATACAATGAACAAACAAAAGGACAACAGAACTTCAGAAAACTCTAGTATACCTCCATTTTTTATAATTAGCAGCTCAATAGTATTTCCAACTCCGTCCACAAACCAGTGCATGACTGATTCACACCAAAAGCGAATTAAATTCTAGTTGCTTAGTTGATAAAACAATTGAAAAATAGAAAGCATGATAAGAAAATATTCCTTTCTGCACGCCTGCAGGTACAAAACTAAACAATAATGTTCTAGACATTACCACTGGAAACTCTGACATTTTGTAGACCAGCCACAGAGTTTCAACAAATAGAATAAAGGGAAAAAATTTGTGGTGTCCAAACTCTTTAGTTTTTTTCTATTTTGGTGTTTAAAGGGAAAAAATTTGCAATTGAGTGTCTGAACTGCTAAGAAAGTTGCAATCAAGTGTATTTGGCTGGATTATTTTATCAGAAAATTAAAGTAGACCATTTTACTTAATAAATGATATTAAACATAGAAATCCATTCAATTCATCTCTCTTTTTTAATTTTCTTTTAAATTTTTGTTTTATATTTCTTCTATTAAAAAAGTCTCAAAGAATTCCTTCTAATTTTCTTTCAATTCCAAAACAATATATATATATATATATATATATTCCCCCAAAACAATATATTTTATAAATTTATAATTATACGTTAAAGTATAGATAATACTATATATTAGAGGGAGAGAGAGAGGAAGAAGAGGTATGAAGAGAGGGGATGAGAGAGAGAGTTGTTTGAGTAGGGAGAGAGAGAGAGAGAGAGAGAGAGAGAGTTAGTTTTAGGTAAGATTAAGCTCAACCAATTTAGAAAGATTACCCAGTTCCACAAGAATTGAAGAAGCAAAATTATTATCAAAGAAGTTCAAAGATTGCAATTTAGAAATGTCACCCAAATCAGGTGGAATTGACCAAGATAAGTAATTGGAAGAATCAAGAATACTACTAGATAAAGATAAAAAGTTCACAAGCCACGAGAGACCATAGAAAGCAAAACTTGAAAAATGATTGAAAGACCAAGTGGGAAAATTCCAACCCTAATGAAGAAGCATAAGACAGAGCCTAAAGAAACTTAATAAAAGCACCTTTGGATTAAATTGGAACAATACCAAGCAAATTTATCAATTAAACAGAGGAGTGAAAGTTAGAAGTTAAAAATAAAGAAAATTAATTTAGAAGTTAAAAAGAAAAGCCTACCCCAGAAGACGAGAAGAGAACTCTTTAAATATTATTAACTCAAGCAGCTGAACCACACAGCTGAACCCATTACAACACTGCCAAAGCAAAATGAAGAAGAATAGAAAAAGAAACAATACATGAGAACATAAAAATTGAAAAGGAAAAATAAAAACTTCAGAATAAACAAATAGTAACTAGATGATACAAGAAAGGAAATGCAAATCATTGCCCACACAAAGACAAGAAAGAAGAGGAACGATGGAGAGGGGAGAGAGAAATCAGGGGTTTTGGTGAAGATCAAAACTGTGCGTTTTTGTATTTTTAGGGGCTTGGGTTAAGTTATCACAAGCTGACTGGGTGGAACCTGTTTCTATATTATTTTATTATAAATCTTATCTGATTTTGAATTCAGGGCGAAATATTTATAAGTTTCTAAGTTGCTGGAAATAAGATCAATTTAGAGTGTCATTGCAACAAGTGGCATAGCTCAGGATTTTTGTAGGTTTAGCCAAAAAGGATTCAACCCAAAACATGAAATCCACTTGCTCATGTTTAACAAGTTCTTTAACCAGAAAATCTCATATTGTAATGACCCAATTTCAGAAATCAAACCTTCTGATAATTGCGAGCAGCTGCTGCAATTACATTGCCAAATGCTAAATTAGACAAGGTTGATTTCACTGAATCTGGATCCATTTACCCAAATTAATTATACATTAAAAACCCAATTGCCAAACTCTTACTTTCTGATATAGAAAACCTTAAACCCTCCTCATACATTTCTCTTTGTACATAAAGATATGACATATGTAAATATTTATATATAAACCTACAGAATACCCAAATATAAAGCGAAATTCCTAAAGAGGTTGCTGCATTGTAACAGCTAGAGGGCTGGTCACTGTATGCTTCCCATCTGACCAAACTATTAAGCCACTTCTTATGCTTGACCCTCCAGGTGATAATTTCACTGCCCTACTTGCTACTCTAACAAGAAAGCTCAAGTTTTGCCCAACTCTTCTAAATACAAGCTTTTCTGGCTCTACTGTGACATTAACCCCACCTGGTGGCTTGATTGTAACTTTATATACAGAATTTGGATTTTTGCCCAACTCTTCTAAATACAAGCTTTTCTGGCTCTACTGTGACATTAACCCCACCTGGTGGCTTGATTGTAACTTTATATACAGAATTTGGATCCCCAACATTAGTTACTGTTCTAATGAAATGTGTAGACATTTTATGCTTCCCATACTGTTGAAATACAGCAGATATTGATGGGTAATTCAAGTTTCCTGAATGACCTGCTCTTTTTGCTCCATTGCAATCTGCTTTCCTTCTTTTACAACTTGAATGTTGTTAATAGTATAATTTGAGTTGCAGAGAAAATCAACATAATCAAGTGTTGATGCATCGTAAACTAAGCCAGGATCCATGGCCTTTTGTGGATGAACATGACCAGAACTAAAATCCATCACAGTTGAAGTATTTCCATTAGACTCGTCAAGCATTGTTTCCCCGCGATTATCGACTGTATAAGCAGTGGTCATTAAGGCTGACCTTATAGCAGCTGGACTCCAATCTGGGTGTGCAGCCTTGCTAAACCAGAAACATGAGGACAGGCCATTGAAGTTCCAGAAAGAATGTTGAATTCAGTTCTTCGGTTATCAGTTGGAACGCTAGAGGGTCCAACTTTATCAGGCCAAGCAGCAAGAATATTCAAACCAGGAGCAATAACATCAGGTTTTAAAATTTCAGGGGATTCAGGATTAGGACCTCTTGCATAAAATGAAGCAACAACAGGTGCAGGCCTAATGCCAAGTCTAGTACCTTTAAAAACAATAGTAGCAGCAGGTGGTGTGTTTGATTTAGAAGAAACAGAAATATACCTTCTAATTTCATCACCACCAGAAGCTCCAACAGCAGTAGCAGGCAGTACATGACAATCTGCAACTAAACCTTCACCATCAAAAACCCCATTAGCTAAAATCACTGTTACACCTCCTGCTTTCTTAACAACATCACCTTTAGCTGCTCTTGAATTTATTCCTCTGTCACATACCACTATTTTGCCCTTAACAAATTTAGGATCTAAAGAACCTTCTAAACATAATGAACTAGAGTAACCATCTCCAGTACCTTCACCACCAGAATTAAATTAGAGGATACAATTTACTTGGAGTCAAACCTGGCCCACCATAAACATTCATACCAGGAATTACTTTTCCATTTCCAACATGCATTAATATTCAACCTAAATAAATAATACACACAATCAAACCAATATCTCAATTAAATAATTTGACAATCAAAATCTATTATCTCAATTAAATAATTTGACAATCAAAATCTATAAAAATTCAATAACAATAATAACAATAACAAACTAAAAATCAATTAAAACATAATAAACTATAATAAATCATCATAGAATAAGAAAGTGTTCACATATTGGTATCATATTTGCTACTATCTTTGCAATCTATACTCTCAAACTTTGACATTATATTTAGATACAATATATTCAAAATATATAACATTATTAAATGGAAATATATTTAAAATATATAACATCATTAAATAGAAAAGGAAAACCAACAACGAGTAAATGAAAAGGAAATAATCTCATTCTCATAGTCTAAAGTAACTCAGTTTAGACGAAATAACAAATAAATAGTGAAATTATTATACATGAAAAGTATGACTAAAAGAAAAGGCAAATAAATTATTTTACCACACATTTTTTCCTAATATAAAAATAACAAATAAAAAAATAATAAAAAGCAACAGTTTACACTAGCAAATTAAGCTAGCTACAGCCGACTTTAGAGACAATAACAAAGAAAAAAAGCAATCATCAAGATAACATGTTCCTTAGATTTAATTAAGACTAGTTCAATACAGAGAATAAACAGGCAAAAACTTAAAAGCAAGAACAAGATGGTCAAAGAAACCATCTCAGCTTCTCTACAGAATATTAATCTTTCTTAACAAATCAAACTTTGAATTAACAAAGCGAACATGTCAGATTTCAATCATATAGCGATGAATTGGCTTATATTCAATAACTCCTCCTCTTTGTTTATGTATATGTATTTACATAAAAAAAAGGGACAAAGGAGAACGAGAAAATAAATAGAAAACGAAACAAAAAAGAATCAAGAATGGAAATGAAGGAACCTGGCACTGGTACTACGGTTGCAGAGCAGGACTGCTGCCGTGGCGACGGCCACGCACGGAGCGACGGTAAGGTAGAACAATAAGACTGTGAATGAGTAGAAGAACCATAGAAGTAGAGAACCAGCGGCGCATGTTTTCTTTGTGCAGCCTTAAGCAAAAACGACGTAGCTGAAATGAATCGATTCGGTTCGATTTTCATGTCAAACCCGAATATTGCTCGCCCATAATTTAAATATCCCGGTCCATCAATCCCTTATCGGGAAAACGCACCGTTTTACACGAGGGCGGTATTATGCGTGAAATTTTTAAGTCCAATGGTCCCTTTCTCTACTTTTATTGTGGAAAAAGAGACACCATTTTTAAAACTTGTATTTTCTACCATTTTCACAGTTTCAGAACGCACCTAGCTGAGGTCTTTTGTCTCAAGATCTGCTTTCTTTTATCTCAAACATTTGATTGTATTCTTGTCCTAATCATGGTTTCAATTTATTGATTCAACTTCATTTATGTTGTTATATATTTTTTGTTCCACTGTCGGATTCAGATTCGGGTTCTAAGCGGATTTGAATTTTATGGATGGAATGAATTTGTGATTAAATGGGTTCGGATAATAAGTAGGTAATTTTAAACCGATTTGGAACGAATTCGAATATTGTCGTTTTATTTCTTAATGGATTTGGAGGATAGTTAAATTAACAATCATGTCGGGTAGTTTAATTCCAGCGGGTACCAACCCCGCCGCCCTCCCTACTCAGGACTAAATAGCAGTTTCTCCTTAATAATTCGTAGCTCATTCTCGTCTATCTGTCGCCGCTTTCTTCTTACTTGCCTTTGCCCATGCCAAATACAAGTTCAAGCCATTAAAACTTCCAACGAATTGTAACCCGAAGACTCTCTTCTGTTACCTTCTCATCCTGCAGCCATTAAAACAAATCAGACCTGCGCGGCTGCTGCTGGGAAGAAAGCCGCTTCCTGTACTGCCATCTCACTGGTAGCATTGTCCTCTTTTTAGTTTATCTTTATATTCTATGGAATCAATTCATCCTTGCATTTATAGTTAAACTCATCACAATTTGAAGAAGAAAAAGGTACATTTAGTCCAAAGAGATCCCAGGTGTAATAACTTTGAGTATAGTGTATTGGATTTTAGCTTTCATGAGATTGTGATAGGAATTATTCTTTTCCTCATGATTTTGATTAAATTGTGATTGTTAATTGTATCCATACATTGCGGGCTGTAAAAATCTGTTCAAAATTGCTATGATTTTCTCTGATTCTGTAAGTTTCTGATTATATATAGGTGCCCCATTTTGCCTAATTTCACTTTTAAAATGTCTCCCTCTCACTCTCTCTTTTTACCCTCAGAAAAAGCAGAAAGTGAAGCTAAACTCCCTTCAATTCAATTTTTGAGAAGGTATGAAATTATATTGGTACATAGTATCTGGGGTTTGTGTATGTACGTATGTGTATATATATATGTATATGGTCATGGAAATTGCTTTGAATTGAAACAGGCTCGATTGCAATAATGGCTTATGTTCAACATGGCAGAAATGCCTTGCGGCAAATTATTAAAGGTGCCAACCTTAAGAGGTCTGATAGTGCTATACCTCCGCTTCTCTATTTTTGCCAAGGGGTTCGACATAGAAAGTTGGATGTTATTCTTACAACTGTAAGTTTAGCTCAATAGACTTTGTGAATCATTCTTTTTAATTTATTTTGTGAGTACACCAAAATGGCTGTAGTTCTTGTAGTGGTGGCATCCTCAAGTTTTCAAGTACTTTGTCTAGGCTTTGTCGGTTTGTTTGTGAAGAAGGAACAGTGAAGGAAATGTATTTAACTGATCTATAAGTTAAGTTACGTTTCCCTCATTAGTTGTATGATGCATGACAGCTTGGAAAACTTGAGTCTTAGAATTAGAAGCCTAGGGCTAAGGTTTTCGGAAATCAAGAATCAGGCTTTGAATGTCAGTGTGGCAGTTCTGAATTTCTTTAAAAACATAATGATTTAATATAAATATAAGTATTTGTTGGAGTGGTGAGATTTTTGTCGAGATACTTTCTAATTAGCTTGCACTTTGCAGGGAAATTGTATTTTGTTTTCTGCTGTAAAGCTTGCTGTTACAGCAAGTAAGCTAGTGGGGTCAGGTAATAGCTTAGTTATAGGCATAAGCTAAGCATGGTTAAGATATGGCTGCAATTTGTTTTTGTGCTTCATATCTTGAGTTAACTCTAACATAATCAATGAAATATACAGCACTTTGAAGGTTCATTTTACAGAACCTGTTTCTCTTTATGTGAGATTTTAGTTTTACGAACTACTAATTCTCAACAGTATTCATAAATAAATAGGGACACAATTGCAGGAAAAAACTGAAATTATTTTACGAACTATATATTCTCAGCAGTATTCATAATAAGTAGGGAGCACAATTGAGGAAAAATGAATTGAAGAAAATCGACCACTTAGATTAAAAGTCGTTGGACTAGGAAGTTAATTATTGAAATGGGCATGTAATAATAATCTGAAATGAATTGGATTATATAAAGATCAACAAGACCGCCATGCCGCACAGCACAACAATTAATACCTGGATAAAAATGTATAAACGAGTAATTCTGATAATTTTTTGTTTGAGCTTTAGAGATTTAAATTTGTCGTGGTTTCTCATCATTAAATATCTATCGAATGGCATTTTTTTAGAGAATAAAGAGGAACAGAGGAGAGATTCGATAAATTTTTTCCATAAATTTTTCCTTTTTACTGCTTTTGCAGTCTATAATTTAATTATTTATTAGGTGTAATATTGATAGTGAAAGTATAATGCTCCATTTGATGGAAGGATCTTGCCTAGATATACTATTTATGGTATTTGTAGTAAGAAAACTTTTGCTGACAACTTGAAACATATGCTTTTTATCAGATAAGTAGTAACATACTTTTGCATGCATCCTCTCTGTTAAAAATCACACAGCTATAATCTTAACGCAGTTCAAAAATTTATGTAATAGTGGAATCAACTGCTGATATTCATTTCAAACACTTGCAGAACATAGAGAAGCTTGGAAAAGCTGGTGAGACAGTGAAAGTCGCTCCTGGGTATTTTCGGAACCATCTCATGCCCAAATTGCTTGCTGTCCCTAATATTGACAAATTTGTTTACCTCATAAGAGAGCAGCGCAAGGTTTCTCAACTCTTGATTTTGTTTAAACAGAAAGAAATACAAATGTTTCACTTTTGCTGATACAGAACTTTTAGATCCACCATTTATCTTTCAATGCAGTTTAGTTTCATTTGAAAAAAATATACCAATTCTTTCAATACTTGATGGCAACTCTTTTTATATGTGCTCTTGACCTGGTTATTGCATCAGATTTATCAACCCGAGGAAGAAGAAGAAATTAAAGTCATTATAGAGACCGTGGAGGATAAGATGAAAGAATACGAGACAGCAGCAAGACGCCTGACTAATTCCCAACTGGTTTGTAGCCTTATCTATTATGATCTTGATTCTTTCTCATTGGTTGAATTCCATTGTTGTAAATGCTCTCTTTCTAGTTAGTCTATTGGGTCTTTGCAACACTTCTTGATTATATGGTGCCTTACAGACGATCAGGGCAGGGATCAATGCTGAGAAATTCCGTGCTCGTGCAACAAAAGATGAAGCTATAGAAATCCGTACACCAGTTACAGTGGATGATATTGTGAAGGAGGTATCAAAGTTCTCATTCTTGATAGTTACTTAGCCGAAAAGACTTTAAAGACTTTTTAAATTTATTATGCATGGGAAATGGAAAATAGAAGTTTCAAAGAGCTTTATGTGAGAAAGCTCTTGCCATTGCTTGGTTAGAGTATACATATGTAGAATCTTGTTTATCCAACTTTCTTTCACACATTGGACATTTGTGCAGGCCATACCTTTTGCATTCCATAGCTTCAAGCGGGGGTAGAAACTAGTAAGTTAGGAATGGCTTGCAGATGCTTAATACACTGGAAACATGGATTTTAAATAAACATCTTTGACCAGAAAAATACACATCATTGTAGTAGTGGCTGCTGTCCTAGGCTTTGGACTGGTCTCTGGATGATTTCATCATATATGTCTAAGTTATGAAATTATTGTTTGGTGTCATCTTTGTAACCGTAAATGTAAGCCTCTTATTCACAAATGAACTTGTGGAGGGTTTGGGTTTTAAGATATATGTTGCCAATGAAATTTTGTTGTTGAGGTTGTTGAGTCGCATGGAGCAGAGATGTTTAATTGTGTTGTGCATGGGACGCTAATATTTCTCTTAATAAAAAATCTTTCTTATTCACTCTTTGTAATTTTTCTATAGGATATAATGCTATAATTTTAGGTGGCAAGGCAGCCTTAATGTTGCTAATTGAGCCTGATTAAATCTTCCACCTTCCATCACCCCTTGACTACGTTTGAGAACATGATGTGCAATTGCGCTTGCCAAATCTATTCCATGCCAGAGGGAAAGATTTAACTGGACTCTTAAAGTGAAAATCCGGGGGTAAATAAATGGCTACTCTTCATAAGCTAGTTTGCTATTTTACAAAGTTACAGTGAAGCATTGACCTATTTTCATCATCATTTAGTGGTTTGATTTTGAAAGTGGGGCTAAGTACTTCAACTCTTTGACATTCTTTATTTCAACTTGTGAAGTATTAGTCCTTCATAATTCTGCATAGCCCTCTGACTTATATTTTCAATAATAACCTCTGACTTATATTTCAATAATAAACTCGAATAGACTTGTCCAGGGGATGAATTTTGACTGGTGGAATTCTTCCTTATATGAAACTTCCAGCAATGGGTGGGTTATACATGCTTGCATTTTGGTGCAATTCCGGTTATTTTGGGCCTTTCTGGTAGAATGAAATCATGCCAACTGCTTGATTTTGATGAAATTAGTCAACAGAGACTTTTTGGTTGCTCTTGTTACCGTATCATGCATCATTTGCTGTATTGAATGTCTTGAAAGGCATACCAATCAGAATGTTTTTCTTCTGCTCGTTTTTTGGTTTTTTCGAAAACCAAAGAATTTACGGCTTTTTTTCATGCATCTTTTTATGATTTGTTTCTTATTGATAAGGTTCGCATCTTAGCACTCGCTTGCTGATAGCGTGCATAGTTTGACTCCATTTTAAAACAGAAAGCAGTTTTTGTTATGGTAAAACGCATAATGCAACCCACAATCAACAAGAAGAAAAGCCTAATAAACAGAGACTAGAAACAAGATATGAAAGCTGATTTCTAATGGAGAAATTAAAAAATGGATACCAACAGAAGTAAGAGCATAATATCAAATTTAGAAAGAAGTAAGAATCAAAAGTTTAAAGATTTAAGAAAAAAAAAATACCAACAGTTAGAAATTGATGCCTGCAGCCTCCTCGATGTTTTGACCAAGAATTTGCAGAAAAATTTAGAAAGAAGTAAGAATCAAAAGTTTAAAGATTTAAGAAAAAAAAAATACCAACAGTTAGAAATTGATGCCTGCAGCCTCCTCGATGTTTTGACCAAGAATTTGCAGAAGAATGCCTGTATAAGCAACTTGAAAGAGCTTCTCTACAGATATATGTTTCACACCTGGATTTACTAAAATGTCCTCGTTAGTGTTTCACAAACTATTCAATATAAAGGGTCTTACAGTAATATAATCAGAAATTCCCATCAACAGAAAGTTGACTTATATATCATATGTATTTTGGGTACCTATTTTTTTCTCAAACGGAATTCATTTTTGAAAGATGTGATTGAAAATCTTGTATGTCTCTTGGATTAGAATGTAATGAAATGAAGACAGAATGGTAGTTGATTAGAGAAACTCAAACATTATTTCATCATATTATTAACATAATAATATAATTGTTACATAGTTTATACAGGAAATTCCAGGAATTCAGTTGCCAATTGCCATTAACACTGTCACAAAAAGCTATCAAAATAGGGAACCATAAAGAGAAGAAATTTTATGAAGCTATTGATAAGAAGCTATATGTACAGTAATGCCAATCGTAATACAATGAATGGCTTACTATATCTTCTTCTATTAGATCTTGTAGCTCAAAGAACCTCATCAGCAGATATAATTTTTTCGCTGCTATCTAATTTTAGCGTCTTGGTTTCTTCTTCCTCAACTTTTCCACTTGTTTTTCATCCTTAGCTTCACTGACTTCAATGTTCTTCCTTTTAAGGAAATTAACAAGTCCATTAAGAGCAACATCAACATCCTCACTCTTCATTAGTTCCTCTGCCACCTCTGCTGGGGTGACATTGGTATTGTCAATTAAACCTTCAATTTCTCCATAGAGAAGATGATGCTTACTGTGAATGCCAAGATAATTAGAGGCTAAAAGACTGAATCCTTTACTGCTACAATAAGACATGTTAATGTGCACATCCATTCTACCAGGTCGTAGTAGAGCAGGGTCAAGACGCTCCTTATGATTGGTAGTGAAAACAATAATTCTTTCATCACCACAGCTCGACCATAATCCATCAATAAAGTTCAATATACCAGAAAGTGTCAACTGCAAAAGCAAAAAAAGAAAAAAAAAATTCAATTTGTGTTTAGATTTTCCAAGAAAATGATCTTTTATATTAAAGAATTTTACGAATTTTGTGGAATTCATTTAGAAATTAGAATCTCATGTCACCTCATGAGTTCAATTCTAGGCAATTTCAAAACAAAATTCCACCATTTATAAGTCAACTTTATGTTCTAAGAAAAAACTAGTACTAACCCTTGAGCTTGAACCCGGAGATTCAAAGTCCATGCCATTATGTTGCTGCTGTTCCTGCTGCCTATCTCTCATTTCTACACTGCAATCAATGTCTTCAATAACCAAAATAGACCGATTTGTAGTGGACAACAAAACCCTTCTCAGATCAGAATTAGAATAAATACTAGTAAGCTCCAAATCATAGACATCAAACTTGAGGTAATTAGCCATAGCACCAATTAAACTTGATTTTCCAGTTCCAGGAGGCCCATATAATAAATACCCACGTTTCCAAGCTTTACCAACTTTCTTATAGAACTCTTTTCTTCTCAAGAACATTTCCAAATCATCAATTATCATCTTCTTTAACTCTGGATCCATAGCTATAGTATCAAAAGTAGCTGGATGTTCAAGATTAATAGAACCCCACATTCCCCCGCCATTTCCATCATCATCACTCATTGGACATTCACGATTATAAAGCCTAATAACTCTCTCTTCCTCTTTAATTAACTTAGCTTTACCCATAACAAAAGGCAAATAACAACTCAATACTCTTTCCTTAAACTTCTTATTAAACGACAACTCAAAACACCGTTTTTCACCAGAATTGTAATTGTTCTTATTTTGTGGCTCAGTACATACATACCTCCATTTCAGCTTCATATTTTCATAAAAATCGTCAACTTCTTCGCCTTTGTCAATTGAAAGACAGAAATTCTTCTGTCTAGGGGTTTTGCTTACTCTTAGCCGGTCAGTTGAGGGGTTAATTTTGGTACGCAGGTAGATTTCCGCGGATTCGAAGACTTGATTACGAGTTATACCGGCATACTCGTCAATGATTAGAGTAAGATTTGGTGAAAGAGGAGTGAAGAGACAATGAATAGCTGAGAAGATATAAGAACGCAGCTCGTAAGGGATAAATTCATTGGCCATGGAACGAAGTAGCATGGCGGAGGCTGCGACGGAAGCGTAGGCGGAGAATAATGTGGACATCGATTGAGGTAAGCTTGTTTGAGAAAACATAACTGACAACAACGAAGTTGGATTAGAAAGTGAATAAAAATATTGAGGTGGAATTTGTGAAATAGAGTGTGTCTCTGTTTTTGAGACCTGAGGAAGAAAGATGTTAAAGCGGTCGAGGATGCAGGAACGAGATTTGAGTTCTATTTATAGCTGACTTGGTGGCTTTCGTTTCATTTGATTGTTCTGTTCACACGAGACAAACTCTGGTTCTAACTTCTAACATTATTTTTATCTAGAATATATATAAAAAGGAGATGAAACATTGTATAGTGAAAAATGGTAACTTAATTTAATTGATTATAATGATTTTTTTTTATTTAAATATAAATTTTATTGGCTAGATAATAAGATAAATAATTGTGTTATATATGAAATATAAAATTATTTATTATGTTAATTTTTCTTTTGGAAAATTTTTATGTTTAATTTGTAAATTTAAATTCTATCAACTAAAGAAAAAATTAAGATATATTGAAAAATGCATAAATTTTATAAATGATAACCCCATACTAGAGATTAATTTTTAAATATTCAAATTAATACATATTTATAAACTCAAAACCATACAATATACTTTATATATAATTTTTTTATATTTTACAATTAATTAATTTTTTAAAAATTAATCAACTCGATCTCAACTATAACTCTAATAAATATTTATATAATGATTTTCATTATAAATACAATAAAAATTAAAAATTAAATTAACTTAAAATATTAAATACAATTTTTTTTAATCATTTTAAATAATTTCATAGGTTAAATTCGCGTACAATGTGAGATGGGATCTCAGCTACTGCTAGGGATCAATGACTCACGGGGGTGAAGAATAAAGACGCTTGTTGTGACTGTGAGGTGTGATCCTCACCACGTGAAACTGACGCGCTCTTACTGATAGGGGTCGCACAATACATGTCTAACGACAAGCTTGGATAGCAAGCTGTTGACTAGATTATATAATTAGGCAACTTGGAAAAGCTTGGGCAGGAAGCTTTTTGACAAAATTCTATTTTCAACAATATTCGATAACTTCCAATAAAAAAATGTTTGATATAATATTTAAAAAACAAAAATCTAAGTCAACACTTATTATATTTTATCTCTTGTATTTTTTCTTAGATGATTTCAAATTTTACTATTAACACTGTATTTGGAACAAATGAATTATAAATATAGAATTTATTTATAAATAAATTTCTCATATTTGGTAGACTATAGTTTAAAATATATAATTCAATTGACTTCTATAAAATTATGTTTGGAATAAATTTTCAAATAAAAAGTCATTTGTCATTATTTCATAAAATACCCTTAACATAATAATTTAGTATTTGGTCTAGACTATAGTTAAAATACTATAATTCAATTGACTTCTATCCAAAATTATGTTTGAATAAATTTCATAAAATTATGTTTGGAATAAATTTTCAAATAAAAAGTCATTTGTCATTATTTCATAAAATACCCTTAACATAATAATTTAACAAAAATAAATAATAAACACCAACCAACTATATTTATTATTTACACTACAATAGCTTTTGTTGTTTTCTTAATAAAATATAAACAATAAATTTCATATAAATAAATACACTCATATTTCACCATAATTTCATATATAAAAAAATAAGTAGTAACATTCATCATAATAGTTATCTTTAATTGGTTTAGAAAGCTTTGTTCACTTAAGTAATTAATTTAGAAACTACAAAAATATTTAAGGTTATTACTGTTTTTAATTATACTAACCTTTTTTATGAAGTGCGTTGCATGTTGACTATGCTTGTTCTCATTTTTTTTACTTTTTTACTTTTTTTATATATAATATTAAAGCATAAGTTTTTATTTAGATTAAAATAAATATAATTTGTTACTTTGTATTAAACTTTGTCGTACAAGATACTTGTAATACTATTTCTTATATACTTAATTCTATTTTTATATAATAAAGTGATCTCAAAATAAAGTTTAACCTAGGACATTAGAGAAAGGAATATATGAATATACACACAAATTCTTGAAACCAAAAAAGTGACCCAAAAGAGAAATATATAGTTTTTTTTTTCAGTTTTATAAATACTATTTTTTTTCAAGTCAAATAAATTTAGGATATAAGAGAAAAAATATCAAGAAAATTAAAGAAAATTAGGATATTAATTAAAGTGATAGTTGTTACATATTAATTCAATAATAAAGAAGAAAATAAAAGATAATTAATAAGAATAAAACTCTTTTCAAAACTCAACATATAATAAGAAATAAATTATATTAAATAAATTACCAATTTGAATTTCAAAAATCAACCACTTCTTCAACTGAAGATGTCATAATTTAATGAAATTTAATGTTGATGAACAAAAAAAAAAAAAAAATTAAAAAAAAAAAAAAAATTAAAGCAAGTGAATAATAAAAATTCACAAAGCCAAATCATATTTATTACCCAATATTAGTCAGTTAATAAATTTTATTTAAATATTTTTATTTTTTTCATTGTTTCTAAGTTTGCAAATTTAAAATAAATAAATAAGTGATTAATTAATTAAAAAAAAATAAACAAAAGAAAATTCTTTCTCTTCCCAAATAGGACTCTTCAAAATTTCCCTACAACCATACAGAAATTAAAGAATATTATATATATATATATATATATACTAGATATATTATATTATAATATAAATATATATATATATTATCTCCTCCTAATAAATATACATAATATTCTATTTAAAATTTATTTTTGAAAAAAAATTATATTTCCAGTCAAAATTCATTACACATAAAGAAAAAAGAATATTAATAAAAGGAATATACTTTTTTTATCCCCTTCTAAATAAAGATATTTTAAATTATACTTCAAAAATATTTTAAATTATACTCAAAATAAAATTAAATATTTGAAAAATAAAATATAAAAAATTTTAAATCTCTCGTTAACATATAATTTTCATAAAGAATAAATTTACAAAGGATAACACTTAAAATTTTGAAATTCTTAATTATTTATATATATTTATTTTAGAATATTTATAAATTATATCCAATCAACTAATAAAATATAATTTTCTAATTGGTCATTACTAAGGTTATTTTAGAATGTTCAAATTTAATTAACGGCTGTGAGACCCCGACTCGAGCGCCTAGTCCAATCCGCTAAAAAAGAATCGGAACGCTTATATTGAGTTGGGCTTACGGTGTGAAAGCCTATTTAATCTGATTGCTTTCTTTGAAAAGGAGTCGCCACTTATATTTTTTATTTTGAGGAAAAACCTAAGTTTGACTCCGAACATTGGTCCAAATGGATGAAATGCACTAAGCATCGAAACCGAGGAGAATTCAGGGACCAGATTTTCAGTTTTTAAAACAATCGACAAGTTGACCTAGATGTTAATGCTTCGTTGAGTGGAAAATAATTTAAAGATGGATAAATACATGGCAATAATAAGAAAACGATTTAAAGCAACCAGTAAACAAACCGATAAATAAATTAGTGAAAGAATAAAAAGGGAGTGTCATTTCTAGCCCATTTAGAGGATTCTAGAATGACCATACATCTCCCAATAGAAAGATCAAAAAGCAACATCTAAATGAATAAAGCTAATTAAAAGGGAATGTCATCTCTGGCCCTTTAAGGGGATTCTAGGATGACCACACCTTTCCCCATGTTTAAAATAGAGCGAACATTTACAAAAGTAAATAAAGAGAAAGCAAAGCATTGATAGGAGTATTGCCTCTAGCCCCTTACGTAGATTCTAGGACAATCGTACGTATTCTAGTCAAAAGAGATAAATAAATCCGAATGAAGCATGAAAGGGAAAGGGGAAAAAAAGATTTTGTGGATTTTGGTTCGCAAGTCGAGTTTGCTTGCTTATCCCATTGAATAGGAATCAGAACCAATTAGTTCTTCCCATTATGAAATGAGGATTTTAATTAGGAAAAGTGTGTTTTGTGTGTGTGTTTTGATTGAAAGTTGGCTTTAGTTGCTATTTGATTAGAAAAGTGTCATTTGATTGAAAAAGTGGCTTTAGTCACCAAGTTTAAGAAAATGTGGCTTTAATCGCCAAGTGATTAAAAAGTGGAAGTATTTTGGCTTTAGTCGCCATGAATATGAAAAAGTGGCTTTAGTCGTCAAAGGTTTTGAAAAAGAGACTTTAGTCGCTAGTTGATTTGAAAAAGTGGCTTTAGTCGCCAAGTTTGAGAAAAGGTGGATTTAGTCGCCAATTTGATTTGATAAAGTAGCTTTAGTCGCCAATTTGATTGAAAAGGATTCATTTAGCTTTTAGTCGCCATGAATGTGAAAAAGTGGCTTTAGTCGTCAAATGTTTTGAAAAAAAGGCTTTAGTCACCTATTTAGTGTGAAAATGGTTCATTCGGCTTTTGTTGCCAAAAGTTTCAAAGAAGAAAGTGATAAAGCAGTGCACATAACGAAGCAAAGGAAAGAAGCAATCCTATCCATTCATTTAAGTTATATTCATGTCATTCAAAAGCTTAGAGTCTCACATTGAAGGCAATTTGCTTAGAGTCACACTCAACAAAGTGTTAGGGCACATGTGTGATTCCTAGTTTATTTTGCTAAGTGTAAATAAATTATGTTTAATTTCAAGAAAATAATTCAAAGTCTCTAACCTAAAGTGTGTGATTGAAAGACTAATTTAAGCATTTATTTAAACTAAGCTAAACATGAATTTAATTTAACTGAATTCAAAAAGACCTAATTAATAATGCCACTATTTATTTCCTAAGTTAAGAAAGTCATTCGTTAATCCTAATCTAAGGGGACATGCAATTTAATTAATCCAAGATAATCATGTAGTTAATTAAGTCCTAGACTAATTATGCTTTAACTTAACCCTAATCATGCATCTAATTAATTCTAAGCTAATTAAGAATTTAATTAAGTCCAATTAATTAATTCTATGCTAATTGACTAATTAATTCTTAAGCTAATTAAGAATTTAATTAAGCCAATTAATTAAATTCTATGCTAATTAGGACTAATTCTAACCTTAAGTGATTCCATGCAATTATTATAAATTTAAGGTGCTAATTAATCTAATTAATCCTTATTGCAATTAATTAAAAATAGCTATGTAATTTGATTAATTTAATTTTCCTATCATAATTTAATTAGCTTTAAGTGCATCAATATAAAGATAATTGGTAAATTGAAAAATGAAAAAATGG